TAAAAGACCAAATCATCACCTTGATGAAGATCTTAAAAAGATCCATAAAATTATATATGCAAGAATTAGATGAGGAAGTTAGGGCTTGCTTAAGAGTATGAAAATTACAATACAAGGTTTCACTATTAACAACAAATTGCCGTAAATCTATTGAAAGATAGGAAAGTAGCGCACTTAAAATAAATTAATTATTTGGCTTTCAGTGAAGAAAAAAAATTACTTTAAAGAGAATAACAATCAACAACAACCACACGAGAAGGAGGACACAACAAGAAGCCATCAAAAATTAGAAAATATCTTATCCAATAACATATGATTTTATCCGTATTTTCCAACAAAGATAATTGATGATTATAAGTTTTTAAAAAATAACTTGCTGAGTATTAAATATGGAAATAATCGTTGTAAAAGAAACCTCAATTTTATTTATTTATTATTTTTTTTTGAGAGGGAGGGGGTGCGGGGCTGTGGTTTTACCTTGAATTCTTTTTCTACCATTATTATTTCTTGGGTAAGGAGTGAGAACTTACATGCATAGCATGGGTATTTATAGAGCATTTATCCTTTAAGTTTTTATTAACAATATAATCATCCGATATTCAAATTTGGCAATTGTATGCATAAACAATAATACATCTAATATATTTAATAAACAAAAGTTTTAACCCCTTATTGGTCAAAATAATTGCTTTTTAATTGCGTGGATTAAGAAGAAACCTAATCTTGATTATCTAAGAGCATCTCCAATCCAAAATGCTATTTTGAAAAGCTAAATTGATAAAATAGCATTTTGAATAGTATAAATATAGCTTATCTTACCATATCTATTCCAATGGAAAAAAGCCATTTGAAGAGCCATTTATATTGGAGTGAAAAAAATAAGTGTTTTATTATTTCTTAATATTGTTTAATGTTATTTTTTTTCCACATGTCTACATTTAATTGGTCTATTTTTTTAGTGGTCCCACTTTGTTGGTTTTGGCTCTTTAAAGAGATATGTAGAAATAGCATTTGTGGGAGAGAAAAGGCATTTTAGCATTTTGTTTGGCTTCTCCATTGGAGTGTGTAAAACAAACAAAAAAAAGCCAAAATATTAATTTTTTATTTTTGGCTATTCATTTGGCTTCTCCATTGGAGATGCTCTAACGACCAAGAATTTCTAGATTCTTCAATTTTTATACTCTTGGAGAGAACGTCTTCATCTTCTCATCTTCGTTCTCTTGTATTCTTCAAAGAATTCATGATTTTCATCCATGAAAAAATAAATACCCAAAACCATAGGCGCTCTCTCTTTCTTTGCTTCACTGGTTAGATTGCTTGTTGTGTTAATTAATTTATTTTTTGTTATGGCTTTCTGATGGACTTCAAGCCTTCAATTATCGTTCTTTTAATTTATTTATTTTTTGGTATGGCTTGCTGATGGACTTCAAGCCTTCAATTATCGTTTCTTTTCATTAGTATTTCAATTCAACTTAATACCATCCTGGTTTGGTTTGATATATTTCTGGAAATCAATCTATCAAACCAAACCAGATTTATCAACTGTGTTTTCAGCCCCTCATTCAAATGATATCATTATCTCTCTTTCCCTCTTCACTTTAGAGTCCCTAAAGTCCTTTCACAGATTAAAATCTAATATTTAATCAAAGCTGCATATCAACAAATCTGTATTTTCCTTTAATGCTGCCACCTATTTTGAAAATCTGTAATTTCAGAAGCTAGAAGTTTTGCCTATTTAATCCATGTCATTCGTAGAGATGAACACACACCCGAAATTAACCTAGTTCAATCTCTTAATTTTTTAAGTTAGCTATATATATATTTCGGAGTCCATCTATTAGTTAACTTCTTTCTCTAAGATGTGTACCCAAAAAAACTTGGCTGAAGAACTTAAACCCATCTCTAAACATCACACATCACAGGGACAAGCAGCTGATTAACTTAACAAAACCATTAGGATTATAACGTACACAAATATACACACAAAGAGGTATACAGCCACTTCCTTATTTACATCACAGCATGGTAATGGCATAGAGCTATATGCAGAGACCCAGGCTTTGAGTACTGCCTTATTATCAAATAAGGGAAATTCACAAGGTATTTATGTAGGGTTCACCCATTCTTGAGTCTGGAGATCCTCCACAAGTTTTCTATCCAAATGGAATGCTGTGGTGATGACAGCAGGATTAATAGGGGGACTGGCTCCAAAGATTGCATTTGCTACTGTATCTACTCCTGGATTTTGACTTGTTAATGCAACGATAGCAATTGCTGGAGTTTTTCCAATATTCAACTGAAAGTGAACGAGGCCAAATGGAAACACAATGAGATCTCCTGGTTTTAGAATCTTTGCAAAGAGACGATGATCAGGGTTTGACGTGACAAAACCAGCATAAAGAGTGCCCTCCAAAACCAGTAGAATCTCTGACGCTCTAGGGTGATGGTGTGGAGGATTCAGGCCACCATTTGGAGCAAAATCTATACGTGCCATAGATATACCAAGAGTGTTAAGTCCTGGCAATAGATCGGCCGTCACTATATTAACATGCACTCCAAGTTGATTTGATGTGTTTCCAGGAACATCAAGCCCTGAAAACGAGAAATCATCAGGAGTGTAAAGGATTGGATTCTTGCAAAATTTCCCATTGACAAGCACTGCACACACAAACAAAGCCGTATTAGTTGTCATATAAATTCAAAATGAATAATATATATAAAAGTTCGTCACACGAAAATATCATATATAATTAATTTGACTGCATGGTCCCGTCATGCCACATATTTTATGTGCTCAGCTATGTATATTGTGATCATAGAATTCGACCGATACAGTGAATATATATAGAATCAGGTTGAATCGGGATCATGAAATTTAAATGAAAGAATGAAAAATGACTAAAGAAAGAGAAGAAATCAGTATGTACCAGCAGAGTCTGTATCATCTATGGCTACACATATGTCTTGAAGGGGGCTGGGGTCATAGGCAAAGGCAAATGAGGAAGCCAGAGCCAAGAGAGCAAAAGCTCCTAGCAAATTAGCAACTTTCATATCGTTCTCTCTTTTTCTAGGATTGTCTTTCGGGTGTGGAGTGAGAACTTGCATGCAGAGCATGGGTATTTATAGATGAGTTATACGTCGTTTAAGTTTTGTTTCTTATCATTGATCTTTGACCAGTCAAACACTGCTATGTGACACTTGTATGAAGAAACCCTAATAGACCTTCACTAGTTAAATTTACATTTTGGCCCAAACAGAGCACACACTCATTATAAGCAATGGTGAGAACCCAGGAGCCTGATGACGACTAGGTTGAGGCAAAAAAGAGTTCAACAAGTGCTTTAATATCTCTCTATTGGCCGGAGGTGGATAAGAAGAAACGTATAATCATAATTGCCTAACTATACGAACTTCTAAGTTTTGAATTCTATCGCGTCTTCATCTTGTACTCTTCATTCTTCAACTCCATGACGTAATTCATCAGCGAACACAGTATGCATAAATGGTTATATCGAATGTTGCTTATTATGTAGTTTTAATTTTATCAAATAAGATTTCAGCTAGAAGAATATAGTCTTAGGTCACTGCAATGATCAAGTTAACCGAAATCACTTAAATTGAAAGAAAACTTTAGGTATGGAAAGGAAAAATAAGTTTTCTAGTACATTTTTCAGTTCTCAATCCTCATGCATGCCTTCATCTTGTTGAAACCTCTAGGTATATCAGATTTGATATAACCTTCATCTTGTTGAAACTGTGAAACCACCCTAATTTGTCAACAATGTTAGGCACCAATTTATCAACAATGTTAGGCATAAATTTGGTGCCACCTACCTTACTCTTGTCTTTTGCATGGATGTTTGCTTATAAATAGACAATGCATTCAAGCATTATAGACACACCACAAGAGAGAAAGAAGAGAGGGTGAG